TTCCTTTACTTAGCTCCTGAGGCCAATGATTATGATTCATTAGCTGATATACAATCTATGAAAGGAAAATGAATACTAGAATCAAGTACAAAAAGGAATCCTCACAGGAATCCAGGTTTTTTTTGGTGGTAGTTTATTATCAAGGGTCCCCTATTTGTTTGAGGGAGGGGGGGACCCCCTTTACTAATCAGGATCCAACATTAACCGTTCACCAAACCTTAATCATCTGCCCTTACGCAAATCTAGCTTGTCACTTCATATTTCATGCAGCGAACTCACCGTTCGCAGCCTTGGGACTGCCACATGGGACCACTGCAAGGACCGGCACTCTCCTCCTCCGTGGAGGTCGTGCGGGTCGCAGGTCGAGTGCCGAGGTGGCCGCCACTTGTGCCGGCCACAACGAGATCTGGTGATCTCGTGAAGGACGTTCAGGTAAGACTGATGAAGTACCCAGCCGAGCCAACTCTGCTATTGAGAAGGACTCAGGGGCCAAATGGATGGTTTTGGGCGTGAAAGACCTGAAATTCCCTCCGAATCGGGTGAAACGACCGCTGCTTTCCGATCTGAACCCCGCTGCGTTTTCACCCGGATGGACACGACGTCGGTTCTGGGTTTTTGGGATGCAACATGTTTGGAAGGTCATTTACCTGATGATGGACTCAGTCAGATAGAATCCACTGGATCCCCCCACAGGCTGGGAAGAAAGCATGACCCGGCTGCAGGTGCTATCTGCTCCAGGCATTGACAAGATCAAGAATCTCTTCGAGCAATCTGCAAGAATGTGAAGAATATACCGTTGGAGCCTGTTGGAGCCAGGAATTCCCGTGGATCTCTTGACAGTTGATCTTGCTTGGAATTCCCCTGGATGATCTCTTGTAAAAACCAGCCCTTTGACGTTCAGTCTCTTCGGATTCCGAGCAACTCAAGTCGAACTGGAGCTCGGTTCACCGATCGTGTGCGTCTTTTTCCGCAACAAGCCTGAGCCGAATTGTACAACCGTTAAGCCTGAACCTCTCTGAACGCTGCGAACCTTCCAAGCAAGTCTTTCGGCGAACCTTTCTGAGAGACCGGATGAGTCCGGATGTTCAGACTGCGTTGAGTTGATCAAAGAAAGAAAGAAAGCAAGCAAGCAAAGCAAGCAAAGCAAAGCAAGTCAAATCAAATCAAAGTAAATCAAGGCAAAACAAAGCAAATCAAAGCAAAGCCAAGCAAAGCATAACAAAGCCAAGCAAGCACGCTTCTGGATGCATTCAGTCCAAATTCTGTGGGACGGAGACATCCAGAAAAAATCGCTGGGGGAAGTTGGATTTACCACCCCAAAGTCACTGACGAGTGGAAATGAATCGCTGGAGCCCTGAACATGTGGGCGTGGATTCTGCCGGAATCGCAGCAATTCTCGGCGCGTCACCACCCGCGAAGGGCTTTGGCCTTGGTATTTTAGGCCGCGGCCAAGACGGGATTTGGATGGCCAGCTTCAAAGTGACCTTTGAGGGTTCCTAAGTGACCCATGGGAGGCTTAAGTGATCTTAGACCACAATAATCAAAAGGTCACTTAGAAGAACTAGGCAGGGTTGTTTGATGATATGATACGATATGATATGATATGGCCGTGGTTTGGTTGGACAATCTCACACACTCCATGTATGGAACATATGCCTGGATTGACCCTGGGTCAACCACACTGATTGGTGAATCTGCCCCATTGGTCGTGTCTGGTGATTGCTTTGGATTTGCTCTTCAATACCACTTCACTTGGAAATTTGCCTAAGGAACTGGTGAAAAAGAAAACAACTATTGCCCCAGAAGAAGTGGAATAGGAATTTACCTAACCCAGACACTCCATGTATGGTATATATATGTCTACATTGACCCCTGAAATCAACCACCCCTGGCCGTTTCTGCAGTGACTGGCAGTCCCAGACAGGTCGTGTCTGGGTCATATACCCAGCTGAGTAGGTCCAACCCATCGTCGAACATCGACGCACCGGCGGAATCACCCAGGCGGGACCCACGACATCGGGCCGAGGCCGCGGGGGTCCTGTGGCTTTGGAGTACCAAGGTTTTTTGGGAACTGCACGTGTCCCCTACCAGGGGCCCTCAAACCATTAAAACAAAACAAACACAGGTTTTCATATACAAAAACCATGTTTTTTTGATGGTTTGTGGGGCCCCTGGTAATTGATATATATATATATAAACATAAACATAGTATATATAAACATGTATAACAGGATTTAAGACAAATTTCCTCATGCGTTCTATTCGAAGACTTGTGTCGCTTGTCAACCTACTGGGCTGGCATGTATCTGACCACATTGCTCCCGGGTGGGCCGGTTCGTGGCTCTTCCATGAAAACATATCCCATCTGG